CACGTTCGTGCGTGCATGAGTGTGTGCGTGCGTGTGCACGTACACGTGCGTGCGTGCGTGCGTGCGTGCGTGCGTGCGTGTGTGCGCGCGTGTGTAGGTACACGTTCGTGCGTGCATGAGTGTGTGCGTGCGTGTGCACGTACACGTGCGTGCGTGCGTGTGTACGTACACGTGCGTGCGTGCGTGTGCACGTTCACCTGCGTGCATGCGTGTGTGCTTGCGTGCGTGTGCACGTTCACCTGCGTGCATGCGTGCGTGTGCACGTACACGTGCGTGCGTGCGTGTGTACGTACACGTGCGTGCATGCGTGTGTGCTTGCGTGCGTGTGCACGTTCACCTGCGTGCATGCGTGCGTGTGCACGTTCACCTGCGTGCGTGCGTGCGTGCGTTTGCACGTTCACCTGCGTGCGTGTGCAGGTACACGTGCGTGCGTGCGTGCGTGCGTGCGTGCGTGCGTGTGTGCGTGTGCAAGTGCACGTGTGTGCATGTGTGCGTGCGTGCGTACGTGCGTGTGTGTGCAGGTGCACGTGCGTGCGTGCGTGCATGCATGTGCACGTACACGTGCGTGCATGCGTGCGTGCGTGTCCACGTACACGTGCGTGCATGAGTGTGTGCGTGCGTGTGCACGTACACGTGCGTGCATGAGTGTGTGCGTGCGTGTGCACGTACACATGCGTGCATGCGTGCGTGCGTACGTGCCTGCGTGCGTGTGCAGGTACACGTTCGTGCGTGCGTGCGTGCGTGCGCAGGTACACGTGTGTGCATGTGTGCGTGCGTGCGTGCGTGCGTGCGTGCATGCATGTGCACGTATACGTGCGTGCGTGCGTGTGCACGTACACGTGCGTGCATGCGTGCGTGCGTGCGTGTGCACGTACACGCGCGTGCATGAGTGTGTGCGTGCGTGTGCACGTACACGTGCGTGCATGAGTGTGTGCGTGCGTGTGCACGTACACGTGCGTGCATGAGTGTGTGCGTGCGTGTGCACGTTCACCTGCGTGCGTGCGTGCGTGCATCGCTATTACATGACATGACATACTAAACATGAAACATCGCTATTACGTCAGTATCATTGAACAGCTCTGATTGGCTGATGAATTGTACAATCGAGCGATTTATTCGCCGGCCCCGGACACACTAGGCGATTTAATCGGGCGACTAAATCGGGCGACAAAATCGCCCGATAATATCAAAACGTTTTGATCTATGCGATTAAATCGGGCGACGAAATCGGGCGACTAAATCGGCGGCGATTAAGTGGACACACTAGGCGATTTCACAGCGATTTACACTCCTGGTCGTATCGCTGTGAGTTATTAGCTAACTTCATTCTCATGAAAGTGAGCGCATGAAAATGTGGTGGTATTAAAAATATGTTACACTCTGCATCGGCATTGTTTGTCATGACTTTTGGTTCTCTTTCAGATTTTGATCGCAAATAACGGCATCGCAGCTGTGAAATGTATGCGATCGATACGAAGATGGTCATACGAATTATTCAAGAATGAGAGAGCAATCAGGTTTGTCGTCATGGTGACACCAGAAGATCTGAAAGCAAATGCAGGTGAGTGACAGTTTCTACGCGGTGTCCGTGTCCGTGTGTCACTCTCACTGTCTTTCTTCTGTGGCGCACCTTTACTCTGGTTCTCCCACTCCTTGTCTCCCTCTCGCTCCATCTTCTGCCCTCTTTTTCTCTGCCTTTTTTTGTCACACTCGGTCTCTCTTTCTGTTTCTTTCTTTCTCGTCCATTCTTTCTTCATCTTCTCCCATCTTCGCACTCTAGCTTTATAAATTTCTCTTCCCCTTTCTCGTCTCTTTGCCTCTCTCTCTCTCTCTCTCTGTCTCTCTCTGTCTCTTCCTGTCTCTCTCTGTCTTTCTCTGTCTCTCTCTGTCTCTCTCTGTCTCTCTCTGTCTCTCTCTGTCTCTTTCTGTCTCTCTGTCTCTCTCTGTCTCTCTCTGTCTGTCTCTCTGTCTCT